CTGGACCTGCCATCTTTGTAAAGGGAGGGTTTCGCTTTTGCTTCCGTGGCCCATTCATTCCGCACGTCTTTGTGGGACACCTTTTACGAGCCGGGCACCTGGCTGGAATGCAGGAGCGCGCAGCCTCCGCCCTCTTGGAACTTGCGTGCATTTAACTCACCACACTTAAGCCCTGTGTTGCCCAGACGCTGCTTTTGCAGCTGAGACTCCTCCGCCACCAGAAGGTCATGCTGTCCTGGATGTTAGGCCCCGCAGGGGTATGCGGGGCTCGTTTGGAGCGGCCCTGGGCACAGTGACCCCCACTGGCCAAGTCACATTGTCCATCCGCACCAAACTGCAGAGCAAGAGCATGTCGCTGAGGTGCTTGCTACCAAGGGCCAGTTCAGGTTCCCTGGCTGCCAGAAAGATCTGCATTTCCATGAAGGGGACCCTTCCCCGAGTTTAACCAATGAGTTTGAAGGGTGTGGCAGCTGAAGAAGGGCAGAAGCATCCCCAATCTTGGGGGGTTAGGTACATCCCGAACTGTGACCCCTAGACAAATGACAGGCCCTGCCCTCAAGGGAGCAAAGGCGCAACTCCAGACCCTCAGTCATGCAAATAAAAATCACATTTTTAGCAAAAAAAAAAAAATTCTCTAATCCCTACTGTTTGTCCCAACTTCTGTGAAGGGACCCAAGAAAGAAAGGTGGGAGGCAGAAAGGCTAAGCAAGCAGAGTTTATTGCTCCGGGACAGCAGCTGAGACAGAGTCCCTAGAGTGGAGTCCGCAGCTACTGCCAGCCCTATAGGGGGGAAGGTCGGTCACTTATATAGATTCTAAACTCAGATTCCAAAGGGGTGACTCATCGCTGTGTGCCTTGACGTAAGGCCCAATTCGTTATCACATTTATCTAGTCCCATGCCAGATGCAAGGCCCAGTTTATTACGGCCTTATCACCCTTGGATGCAAGGCCTAATTTATTACTGCCCTTATCAAGTCCCTCAGTAAATCTCCGCACTTGGTTACTCCCAACACCTACCTTTGAGGCAGGTAAGCCACAAGAGCCATTGAAAACGTAATTGTAAGAAAGAGTGCTGTGTTTGTTATAGGGCAGCAAATCTGTTCCAGGACAGGGAGAGAGGAACACCCATGAAGCCCCAAAACCTGCTCTAAGTGGGCTCTGCTATCCGCCGCAACAAGACAAAACATATAAAACTTTAATGAAAAGGGACTTTAATATAGTAAATATACAATACGGAACACAAAGAATATAACTTCTAAATCAAACACCTGAAGTGACCCATCCCCTCGTGGGCAAAAGTCCACCCAAAAGGGATTGGCCCAAAGCAAGGCCTGAAAGCTGGCACAAGACTAAAGCACCTTCTGGCTGGGACCCATGGAAAAGAGTGAGAAATGGCCAGACAAATCTGGGAGGAAAAGAGCAAAATCAAATTCAATATAAACACGGCCATTGTCACCTCCCTACAGGTATCTCACCCACATCTGCCTTAGCCAGTCCAGGGCCAGGAAACAAGCCCGGTTTCTTCCTCACATGCTTGCTGCTCCATGTGGCTTCCTCAGGTCTCCTGGCTCTCTCATTTCCTTCTTTTCTCTTCTCATTCCTACTCTCCTTTTCTCTGCTCAGCTCCACCCTCCTTCTGGGTGGGGCAGGGAACCCGGAACTTCCCCCTTTCCTAGGGACCCCCCTGTTACCTGTTCAGAATGCAAACACAAAGAAGGCAGAGCTAGAATGTGAACTGAGGTCTGGAAAAATAAAATCAATATGGGAAGAGTTACCAACAGAACTGCAAGGGCTGTGAAAGGGTAAAAAGCGTATTGCCTTCCTGTTCCTAGCCCTCCAACTCATCAAAAGGCTGAGTTTTGAGAACTCAAAGAAGGAAACAATCCCAAGGAAAAACGGAAGCCTACAGTGTGCCTGCTGCTTAGCCTGGAGCAAATCTGTATGAAATAGTGACTTTCAGACTCCATGGTGAACCAGAAGCACCTGGAGGGGTGTTTAAAACCATGGGGGGAGGGCGGGCCACTCCCCCAGATCTGGGCTGGGGCCTAAAGATTTACAGCTCTAGCAAATTTCCAGGTGATGGCGATGCTGTAGCTCCAGTGACTACCCAGAGAATCACTGCTATCACTCAGGACCACAAAAAGCCACAGCCTCGGATCCTTCCTGGGGTGCAAAAGGTTAAAATGCAGCACTATGGGGCCCTCCCTGGTGGCTCAGCAGGTTAAAGCACAGCACTAAGAAGCTAAAGCCACTTCTGATGAGTTCGATCCCCACCCCAGAGGTGACCCAAATGGCTCAGCAGACCTCTCCTGACCCGCCCGCTGCTGCCCTCAGCAGTGACTCTCTCTGAGGTGCCAGGCTAGGGGTCTGTATAGGTTTTAGGACAAAGACAAGGTTTAAGGAAACAAGGAGAATGGACCTGACCAAAGGCAAGGGTGGTTCATTCTTGTTGCCAGTGTGAGCACCAGTCAGCTGCACCATGGTGGTACCGGGCTCGTGACCCTCTCACTAGAGGGATATCACGTGAAGATTATGAACATGTAGATCTAGTTTGTCCCTTCTGGTCTCAAGGTCTGTAGGAAGACAGCTCAGGAAAGCACAGGCTAGGGGAAAATTAGTGAAATAATAATAACAATACACCACAATGGGCCAAAGAAATTTATGTAGCAAGTGTCTGGGCCTACCTAGAGTCAGATTTACTTAATTTGTTGTTTACCAGCCCAATAAAAACAATGAGAACGGCAAAGTTCTTTCCTTGAACCCCTGTTGTTTTTCTCCTGGGACCCCTCCTATCTCCAAGGAATCAAGTTCATCTTAGGGGTTGGGATGGAGAGACAGTCAGGAAGTGACATTTATTTATTTTAGCTGTGACCTGAAAACATGTTGTAGTTTTCTAGACAAAGAGAGAGGCCCTGGGCCTCTCTGGTGGCAAAGGGGTTAAGTCTTATCACTACCACACTGTCACTTATCATCTTTGTGGCCTGAGTTCCATCCTGGCCAGGGGTGACCCCATGGCACAGCAGACCTCTGCTGTCTTGCCTGCTGCTCCCCTCAGCAGTGTATTTCTGTAGATCCTCCTGTTCTGTTCCCCACCCTGTCTCTGGTGAATCCTCTCTCTCTCACACACATACAAACACACACACACACACACACACACACACACACACACCCTTCTGGTCCGCACCCCAGTTCTTCTACACATAAATAATGTGTTTTTGTTTTTTTGTTTTTTTGTTTTTTTGTTTTTTGTTTTTTTTTTAATGAGAGGGAGACATAGAATAGTCTAGGTGGTAGAAATTGCGTGTATAAGAAAAGTCATCTCAGGAGGTAAAAAGATGAGTCAGAACTGAGACCAAAGGACTTGTCCTTTTCTTGGCTCAGTTTAGCGTAATAAGCAAAAGCTTTGGGATGAGAAGGATTTGGAGAGGAATCCCTGTTCTTGCCACTAGTTTTGTTGAGCAAATGACTAACTCTTGGTTTCCTCACTATGAAAATTGGCTGAAATAACAGAAACTCCACTCAGACTTGCAGGACAGCAAAAATATGCCAGCCCAAAGGATTTCTTTTTGACAAAAGATTAATTATTTGCATGGAAGGAGCAGATGGAGGTTGTTTTTGATATTTATATGTAAACTTTTCTCTATAAGGGCCTCTCCCAGGCAAATACTCTCCTAATTACTTTTCACAGTAGAAAATCTGCCTATGTTTGCATATTGTGCTTTCCTGGTAACCTCCCCAACTGACCTTTCCCCTTACCCTATACACCTTCAAAGCTCACACACACACACACACACACACACACACACACACACACACACATCCTTGTCTTAACTAAGCTATTAAAGATATTTAAGATGATTTCTAAAGCCACATGGGCCAGTTATTCAGGAAAGCTGGGTGTTGACCATGTATAGAGGAGATATTCATGTTTATATTAAGTTTCTTTTGGACTTCATTTATCAATCTATCTGATGCTAGTTTGATTATTTGCCAGCCTAGAAGAACCCACAGGAGGAATGAGTTGATTGCATCTACTCCCCAACAGACTCAATTAGACCTTTGCCTTTGGCTCATATAACTCCCATAGCTGGACATCTAGAGATAGGTCAGCTGCAGGGAGTGATGGAGCCTTGCATCCATTCATTTAGAATTTTCTTGGCTCTCTCTCCTTCGTGCATCAGTCTTGTCTTCAGACGGCTGCCAGGAATTGCCAGGACCACAAGTTTCCCTGTTCATGTCTAACAAAAGAGAGTTCCCTTTCTTAATCCTTTTATCATAGAAATAAGCCTTCTCCTCCTGGTCCTAATTAAACTAGGTGAGGCCTTGTCTGAACTACCCACCATGGAGAAGGATGGCATTACTATCAATCAGATAGATTGATATGACCAGTGATTATTATAGAATCCTGCCCTGGAATTGATTTCAATTGCTCAGAAAAAAAGTAAATGTGAAGTTACCACGTGTTCATATATCTCCATTGCTAGGCTG